TCATGATGAATGTGCAGCATGCCAGAAACAAAGATCTGCAGCACAGCCAGCCCCTTCTGACTGACGGAGGATGCTGCCATTCCAAGCTCTTGAGCAAGCTCTGGGCTGGAACTTCCCCCTCTCTATCCTGTGTCTAGTGCCCTGCTGCCTGAATCATATGCCCTTTTCTTGTCCTCTTTGTTTTGGTGACTCACAACCTCAGGTAGCTCTGATCACAAGAAAGGCTGCATTTCCCCATAAGGGGAAGGAAACTTTTTGAAAACACTTGCATCTAAAAGTGCAGTCAGGCTGTGTGACCAAGTTTCTGTTAGTTACAGACAACATATACCACCAAGATGCCTAAAGAAATCTCTAATAGAGTCAGTCCCATCACTTCCAATGTGCCAACCATGGCAATGATCACAGAGCAATGAGTGAGTTACCTGGGGTGTTGGTACAAACAAACCTAGTATGCTGTCAGCCATCTAAAAGCATAGCACAGGCACTCCTGATACCTGATACTCTTATCATTCAGTTATATTCCTACTTAAAGATTGCTGTAGCCGGGCGTTGGTGGCGCACGCCTTTAATTCCAGCACTCGGGAGGCAGAGCCAGGCGGATCTCTGTGAGTTCGAGACCAGCCTGGACTACCAAGCGATTTCCAGGACAGCCTCCAAAGCCACAGAAAAACCCTGTCTCGAAAAAAAAAAAAAAAAAAAAAAAAGACTGCTGTAAAAATGTGTGTTAGCTTTGTTGCTATAACATAATACCTGGGGTGAATTTTAAAACAGGAAATTATTTTGAAGACAGGATTTCTCTGTGTAGCCCTGGCTGCCCTAGAACTCACTCTGTAGACCAGGTTGGCCTTGAACTCACAGAGTTCTGCCCACCTCTGTCTCCTGAGTGCAGGGATCAAAAACACATACCACTACCTCGAAGCCCAGGAAATAGTTATTTTGGTTCACAGTTTTAGAGATTTCAGTCCCAGAACAATAGTAGGAATGAAGCAAGGATGATGGCAGAAGGTGGTTCAGGATCCCTATATCCCCAAGGGCATACGCCCAAACACATGTTCCACTAGGCTCTGTCTCTGGCTTTGCCATATCCCAAGGTACTACAGACTGAACCAAGCCTTTAACACATAGCTTTTGGGGTATAGCTATCCAAATTGTGGTAAATAATATTATGTATGTTTTCTGTGTCTGTTCATTATAAAAATGTACTTCACAGCTTGGGGTTACTAATACACAACATTCAGGCTTGCATGAGCACACTTAGCAATGCTCACAGCAATATAATTGCTTAAGGAAACACTTCCCAGAATGCATCCCTGTTGGTGAATGTCTATGCTTGGTTCACTGTGTGCTGAGTGAAGGCTATGGTAGTTTTCCTTTATCATTCCCAAGTCTGTTCCTAGCAAGAACCCCAGCTGTGAGAAGCCCACTGTTCTAACTGGAGTTTGTATATGAACTACAGCCAACATCAGACTACTTTACCTGACATTCAGAAACTCAAGAGTGATAAGACACAGTGTGGGGATCTTCTCTCATGCCCTACTCTCCATGAACTTTCCAACACATTGTTAAAACTTTCTTTGGACTAATTCATCAATGATTTTCTCTAACTACCATGTCAGGACTCCTATTAACTGACCAAAGCACTTCCCTGTTGATTCTCTAATTAACACCCCCCCTTCCCTTCTTTCCATTTCATGCTGGCTGTGGATTCTTTCTGGTTATTGCTTCTTCCCCATCTTTCCCTTGCTTGAAGACTTTGCCTTTTATATGCTTGCTACTTTCTTTCAAGCTCCAAGAATGCTTTCTTATTATTCCCTACTATTTCTTCACACACGTTTCCTTTTTGCAGATTGTGGTATCCTTTTACATTTCCCTATTGATATTATTGGCAGTTTTATTGATGTTTACCTCTCCCTCTACATGGCTTGTTTCCTACAACTTAAAACAAACAAACAAACAACAGAACAAAACAAAAACCTATTGAAGCTTTGTATTTTGTGGTGCAGGCTTCTTGACATGTCCAGTCAGCTCAGCTGCCCACTCCTGTCTGCCTGGGGCGGACTGAGAGGCATCAGAAGTTCTGTGCCAGGTAGCACCTTTCACTGTGACCATCTCTGTAGTATGCTAATTGGACATCTGCACAACTATGGGTGTGAAACTGTGCTGATGGTTCCTGCTGCTCAACCCAAAAGCCTCTCCTAGGCTCCTGCATCCCTGCGCCATGAAATCCCTGAGATGGGCTTGTAGATGTTAGTAGGTAATTGTGCACTTGACCCTGATCCCAGTGTTATGCCACTGACTCTGCACCTCTTTTTGGGGACTGGTCTTTAACTCCTTTAGATACACACAGCCCCTCCTCAGGAAGAGGAAGGGGGCAGCTGTAAGGTAGCACAAGGCTGAGCATCACCAGGAACAGACTCTTACATGTCCAGAGGTGCTCATTGTTACCGCTTGTGAACCTTGTGGAGAAAGATTGCCCTCCTATTTCAGGCCTTTGTTTTTGGGTTCGTGGGGACATTTTTTGTTGTTGTTGTTTTTTTTGTTTTGTTTTGTTTTTTCGAGACAGGGTTTCTCTGTGGCTTTGGAGGCTGTCCTGGAACTCACTTTGTAGACCAGGCTGGCCTCGAACTCACAGAGATCCGCCTGGCTCTGCCTCCCAAGTGCTTGGATTAAAGGCGTGCGCCACCAATGCCCGGCTTCGTGGGGACTTTTTAGCTTTACTGGCTGCTGCTGCTTCCTCTCCTGCTCCTGTCCTTGCGCATTTTTGTCTTATAGTTGAGGTTGTTTCAGAGGCCCCAAAGGGCAGTTAAAATTGACACGACTACTACCTTCACCCCAAAACTTCACCCATCTTTAGTCTCTTCAAGGCTCACTTGCTCTCACTTGGTCCACCCTGATCTGTTTTTGCTGTTTTTTCCCTCTTCCAGCTAAAAGGAATTATCCTTACTCTCACCTACCTATGCCATTGTTGTCAAAATCCTGCTAGCAAGGAAACATGGAACCACAGCTATGAGATGTTCACTGGAGAGCAGAACTATACTCCTAGGATATTTCCATCTGTGCTTAGGACAAGAATGCCAACTAAGTTCTCGGCGACTGAACTGCTTAGAAATCATTCCAGATGCTGACTGTGGTATCTAAAATGTCCCATCGGCACAGGGAAACCCTTTGGGAGGTCACAATCAAAAGGAGGCTTGGATGGACACATCAGGGTAATGGTCCATTGACTCAGGCTACCGTAGAAGCCTATGACGGGGGAGCGGTACAACACCTAGAAGAGAGCATGTGCTAGGGAGGCTCACCAGTGCAGGCAGAGCTAACGAGGACAGCACAAGAATCCCCCTGACTTCAGAGGGTCAGGAAGGAAGGAACACAGGACTAGAAAGGCAGTGTAGGGGCCCGCTCTTTCCCAATGAAATGACTGTCTGTGGCATGTGGTGGGAACGGAGGAACATTCTGAGTCACCACTTGGTCAGGACACAGTCTTTTAAATGTCATCAACACAATCTGCCTGGAACAAAGATGACTACTTTCTGCCAAGTCGAGACCCTCCTACAGAGCCTTGATCCAGCTTCTCCACGAGACAGAGTCCAGACAGTGAGGAAATTGAGGGTGTGTGTTACCACTTTGAGGTGCTCAGACATTAACATAGGTTCACAACTGAAAATTCCAAATAGCTCAGTTTCCCGCGATTAAGAGAAGTAAGTCTTTTCTATTCTAGGCTCCCAATAAATTTGTTGGCGGTGAACTTGAAGTCAGAACCATGGTTAATTTTGCCAGTGAGGTGATTTGTCCCTGCTTTAGTCCACCATCGGGTCACCTCCCCGATATGCTGATGGCTGACTTGTTTCAAGGCATCACCCCAATGGAAAGCAGAGGCTGCTGACCCTGTTCTCACAGGTCAGAAGCCAGCCGCGGCCAGAGTCCTGAAAAGTGCGTCCAGATTGGTTCAAAGGCAGTAGGAAGCGAGTCTCTCTGATGATGGCCTAGTGTGTTTGGAGAAAAAGAATATGAGAGAGAGAGAGAGACAGAGAGACTGTATGTGTGTGTGTGTCTAGACTCTAGAGCAAGGTGGCCTGGTTGGAAGGCCCCGGCGGGGCGCAGCGGAGCATTTCCTTTAGAGGCCCAGACAGTAGATGGGTGGGGCGCCCTGGGCGGGGTCCTCGCAGCTGGTGGTGTTTGAAGCCTCCACGACCGCGGTGGGAGAGGGGCGGCCTGGAGAAGTTGGCAGCAGGCCTGGGGCAGGAAGGGGGAGGAAGGGGCCCTGTGTTCCCTGAACAGCCGCGACCGCAGCTCCAGCACGTAGCTCACTCTCTCAGCACTGGCAGTGGTGGGCTCTGCACCAGCCAGGTTGACATAGGCTCAAGGGCAGCGCGGCCGCGCGGGGGCGGGGCGGCCCGGGTGGTGACTTGGCTCTCGCCAGGGTTGCCCCGAGAACTGGAGCTCAATGGGGGCAGAGTGTGGAGGTGGCTGGAGGCTGCCATACAAGACCGGCCACCCGAAAACTCCGCTGCGGTGGGGTGAGGAACGGCAGTGTCCCGCCCATAGGAGAGGCCGGCCGCTTAGGACCCGCCGAGACGGATACGCCACCTCGCCCGCGCTCCCAGCGGAGGGAGCGACCACAGGGTGCCCTCCTCAGCGTTGCCATCCTCGCGCCACCCACGGCTGCCTGTGCATAAAAGCTCTGGCATGGAAAGGCCCGGCGGGGTTCCCGCGGCGGGAGGCACGCGCCTCGGCCCTACACCGCTACCCCGCGGCCCGCCACCCTCGAACGTCATGCGTCACCGTGCCCCGCGCTGGGCTCCGATTTCCGCCCCTCCTTCTGCAGATCCAGGGGCACGCCCACTGGCGCGCGCAGGTCCCGCGGCCAGTAGGGCCTTCTGAAGGCCCGGATTGGCGGGCTAGTGTACTCAAGAGCCAATGGTGTTCGCGTATGCCACTGGCCACGCCCTCCCAAGGCGCGGGCGCGCGACCGCACGGTCCCTCTGGTGCGCGCTCCAGGCTCCCCGCCCCCTTCAAGCGCGCAGCTCCCTGCGGCCGCTGCCGCCTGTAACCTGCGCCGCCAGGATGTGGCTGGGGGCTGACGTCGGGTCCAGATGTGGCCCCGGCCCCGCCCACCCCCGGGGCCGGTCCGCCCACACCGAGCCGCGGCGCGCTCGGAGGCTGTCCCGCCTGCCACAATGCACGGTGGAACTGCGACCGCAACTTGCCGGGGTCGTGCCTAACATCGCCGCTCGACATCCGTAAGAAGCCGGCCCTGACGCCGCACGCGGACCTTCCTCGTTGGAGCCCCCCATGCGCTCACCCTCCAGTACCCGGCCAGGCGGACGCGGAGCCGCGCGGGTGACGGCAGAAGCGGCTGCGCGCCCAGCCTAGCCCAGCCCAGCCGGAGAAGAGGGCGCGCCGCGCCCCCGCCCCCCGCCGCTCTCCGGAGGCCGTGGGTGCGGATGCGCCGCTGACGACTCCTGCGAGAGCACCGCGCGCCCGAGCCCGCAGCATGGCAGCCGCCGCCTATGTGGATCACTTTGCCGCTGAGTGCCTCGTGTCTATGTCCAGTCGCGCAGTCGTGCACGAGCCGCGGGAAGGGCCTGAGTCCCGGCCCGAGGGCGCGGCCGCCGCCGCCCCCACACTGCCCCGCGTCGACGAGCGCCGCGACGGCAAGGACAGCGCCTCGCTTTTCGTGGTGGCGCGGATCCTAGCGGACCTCAACCAGCAGGCGCCGGCGCCCGCCCCCGCGGAACGCAGAGAAGGGGCCGCTGCGCGCAAGGCGAGGACCCCCTGCCGCCTGCCGCCCGCGCCCCCTGCGCCGCCGCCCGCCCTAGAGCCCGCCTCCCCGGGACGAGCAGGCGCGCCGGCCGCGCCCCCCAGCCCCGCGTGGAGCGAGCCCGAGGCGGCACTGGAGCCGGAGCCGGGCCCCGCGGAGAGCGGCGAGCCTGGCCTCAGACAAAGGGGTCGGCGGGGCCGGAGTCGCGCGGACCTTGAGTCCCCGCAGAGGAAGCACAAGTGCCACTATGCGGGCTGCGAGAAAGTTTACGGGAAATCTTCGCACCTCAAGGCGCACCTGAGAACTCACACAGGTCAGTGGGGCGGCCCGAACGCCGCGACCAAGCGGACTAGGGACTGACTGCTCGGGGACGGCCACGCCCCCGGAGCTCTCGGCCCAGCGCTGGAGGGGCCGGGGGCGGGGAGCCGGGAGCTGAGTGCGATCGCGGCCGCGCCCCTGCCCTGGCGCTCTGGCCTCGCGTGACGCTGGCCGGCCCGGGCGCTTGGAGCCGGCGCCCTCTCGGCGACCGCGCCCCCATCGGGCACGCCCCCTCCCGGGTTCTTGGGGCGGGGCCGCGGGGTGGATGTCGTCATCCGGGTTGCGGGAGGCGCGGGCAGGTGCGCTCGAGGTGGCTGGGGGACAGCCGGCGCGCCCCAATCGGGGCGTGGGTGCTGCGGAGGCCGGAGCCTCGCCATCCCCTCCCCAGGGCTCCCGGCGCGCTGTGGCTAGGGAGGGGCCGGCCCGGGCGGGCGAAGTTCACCCGGGGACAGGGATCCCTTCAGCCACTCGGCACATTCTTCGCTCTCTTCTTCCTGTAATTTTTCCAGCGCTCTAAGGTTTAATTTGTCGCAACCCGACCCAGCGGCGGCGCTGGCCGGCGCGGGGGGCGGTCCCAGTCCTCACTCCCCACCCGCGGCTCTTTGTGGGAGCCCCAGCCCATCCGGCCGGCGGGGGCGCGCCCGGCCGCAGGGGGCTGCGCTTTCTCTAGTGCTCTGTTCACTGCCCTTTCTGGCCCAACTTTCACCTGCTCCTGGCCTGGGTGCGGGCAGGTGGCACCTGTACCAGGGCGGCCGGTCTGAGTCTGCCACCTGGGGTGGCGTAGGGTCATTCGCTTTTGTGGTTTCCGGGCACCGCTTCGCCGCGCTCCGGACCAGATACTTGGTAGTTGATTCGTGTATGGAAGCCCTCCCCCTTGTTTTTGGTGTTAACACAGCGGTGCAAACATTTAGTTGTATTTCCTTTGAGCTCACGGAAACTCTTCTGTGACACTTAACTCCTTTTACAGCTTTGAGGCAAGTTCACTGCAAAAACAGGTTGCTTTGTTACCAGGGGCTGTACTTTTTTTTGTTGTTGTTGGTAGTTGCTAAAACAGTTAAGTGGCTGACCAAAAAGCACCGGAAGACACCGAAGTCTGGGAGATTAGAGCTCAAGGCCTTTCTGCCGTTACCTTTGTAATGGGGCAGCCAACTTATAGGCTATGGGTTCTCTGGCGAACTTTTCCCGTGGGGGTCCCAGCCCTTTGCTGTGGCTGCCCAAACCGCGTGTCAGGTGATGGGGTTGAGTGAAGACCGGGCCGTTTCCAGGCATTCATAGTCAAAATTCATGGTGTGTGAGCCCAGGAGGTGGGTGGGGTTTGTGTAGGGCTCCCAGTTCTGCTAGGAAAAGCGGCCTCTGGGGTGGGTGTGGCCATGGGGGAGGAGCAGAGCTGGGTTCAGAACCTGATGGACCAAGAGAGTTGGGTGGGGTTTGGGGGTGTTAGGAGGCCGGCTAAAGGATTGAGAAATCTTGGGGCAGAATATTTCATCGTGGCTTCCCACTTGCGGTACAGGGTAGCCGAGGGCTTGTCTGAAGGGAGGGGCTGACCGTCGTGGGCGGGTTGGGTCCAAGATGTTTTCCTGGTTGCCTCGTTCCTCCTTTCACTCTCCGTTGGCGTTTAGAAAACGTTTGGGGGCGCTGAGGACCGCATCTTCCGTAGTGGGGAGGGAGCCATTCTCTCCGGAGCGTCAGGAAACTCAGAGCAGGTAGAAGAGGCTGTGCCCAGAGTGTGCTATACGATCAAGGGTAGGCAACCGGGGCCGCCCTCCTTGTGTGTTGAGATAAATGGAGGCGCCACCTTCGGGTGGCTGTAGGGTTCCAGGCTCTCTTGAGAGTGGGGGTTTGGAAGTCTGTAGAAGTCTAGCCTGCGTATTTGTATGGTACCCAGGTGAGTCTCATGACGAGAATTGCACATCTCCAATGCCTGCCTCTGGGTGGAGTCTCAGCCTCTGATTCGGGAAGCCCTGGGAAGCCATTGCCATGCCTTGCTGCGCTTAAAAATAACTCACGTTCGTGAGGGACCTGGGTGTGTTGGCCACAGAAGGGAGAATCAAGCAAGGTGGTCCCGGGGGCTTCCGAGTAGACTCTGGCTTTGGGGTGCTTGTGGTTTGGTTTGTGGGTCACAGCGTGCAGTGACGGAGGCCATGCCACATCTATTCCTCCCCAGTACCCTCCTGGAGAATATTAGTTTTTGGCAGGAATGGTTATTATAACCACCTTAGCCGACAGGTAGTCGGCAGCTGTGTGATGTGTAGCTGTTCGCAGGCCTCCCTGTGGTTTGGTAACTTGTGCCATGACCACCTGGGAAGCTTGGGGGGAGGTATTCAGTGACTTTGGGAAGGGCAAGGTTCTCTAGCCTGGACTTTCCTCTAATATGGACGCCTGAACAACTGTTTGCAGAGAGAGCTGTTCTCCTGCATAACTACAAGGTAATGACCCCTCCCTAGGAGTCCTCTGGTTGGTGTTAAAGCAAATGCACAAAACAAAGAAATGCCACAATCGAAGGAGTTTCTTTATTTTTATTTTATTTTACTTTTTTCTTTTGGTTTTTCGAGACAGGGTTTCTCTGTGGCTTTGGAGGCTGTCCTGGAACTAGCTCTTGTAGACCAGGCTGGCCTCGAACTCACAGAGATCCACCTGCCCCTCCTCCCGAGTACTGCTGGGATTAAAGGAGTTTGTTTATTTAATTGGAACCTCTGGGTCCATACTTGGGAAATTTGCCAACCTTACTTTGGAGGAGTAGCAAGGCCAGGAGCAGGTGGTTTTGGAGGCTGGGGTATTTGAGGTGGTAATAGAGGACCTCCAGAAGGCCTACTCCATCAAGCAGTAAGCTCTCCTGCATTGGAGAGTCCTGCAAGGCTGGCAGGACTGTACTGGAATGCTGGGTCCCTCAGTCTTCAGAGATACCATGAATAGATTCTTACTACCTCTTTGTTCCCATAAAGGATTTTTTTCAAAATTATTTCATCTTTGTAGCATCTAGAACCAAAATATCTCTGTATTCTCCCTGGGCTGGGCTATTTAGCAGCCCCTAGGGCACCGGAGGAAGGTAAGCTCGGTATGGCCAGTTACATGGCCAGGTCATGACTTATGTGACCTCCTGTCACCTATTGAAAGCACAAGATTTAGTTCGGCTGTCTCTAGCTGGTAGGTGACAGTTTTGATGCCGAGAAGCAGGTGATTATGTAGAGACCTGGTGACATTACTCAGAGTGACTACAAACTGATAATAGCACATGTGGGGCCTGCTGGCCTGAAAGACAAGGAACCAGCTGCACTTCTTGGTCTCCCCTGGGCAGGAGAGACTTGCTGTATCACCACCGTCTCTCAAAACAGTCTTTATTTCTAGGTCTTCTTTTCTCAGGTAGAGCTTTAGAGTCCAGACCCACACTGGACGCTTCAGAGCAGGCTCACTGGCACGTGCTCTGTGCCTGCTCTCCTGGCTTCCTTAGCTCTGACTTTTCCTGGGCTCTTGGAAGTGCTCACTCAGTGTGTAGTCCCTGTGGCAGCTAAGTGTGCCTCCTTGCACGGAGGTGGCTTCCCTGACAGGGTGTACTGACAGGCAAGAGTAAGTCACTCCAGAAGAGGCCTTGGGTCTGGGGTACAAAGTCCTAGCAGTCCTCCAGAGAGGGGCTTTGCTGTGCAGTCATCAGAATGAACTTGTGACAGTCTTTCTACCCTCAGGTCCTGTTGGCTCCTGCTACCTATATCCTGTGGTTACTTGCTCCTTAGATGTAACAGAGCAAAGGGACAAGGTGAATTATGTCCCAAAGGTGTGGGAGAAAACAAGCAGGAAGCCACTCACATACACACTTGTGGATGTGTGTGCATTTAAGTACACACCTGAAGGAACCAGGGGAGCACAGTGCTGTTGTGTCTGTGGTGCTGTCTGAAGGGGCACATCATCCCTGCTCCCAGCAGTCCTGGGGCCTATGTTAGAGACCCTGTACAAACCACCGTTCTCACAGAGATGCTCAGATAACAGTGTGTTAAAGTTTGTACTTTAAAAAGGCAGTTTAAATGGTTCTTGAAAACATCTAGAACTAGTGGTTCTCAACCTTAAAACCATAAAATTGCCTTTTTTTTTTTTTTTTTTTTTTTTTGGTTTTTCAAGACAGGGTTTCTCTATGGCTTAGGAGACTGCTCTTGTAGACCAGGCTAGTCTTGAACTCACAGAGATCTGCCTGCCTCTGCCTCCCAAGTGCTGGGATTAAAGGTGTGCGCCACCAATGCCCGGCTGCCTTAAAATTATTTCCATTGCTACTTCATAGCTGTAGTTTTGCTACTGTTATAAGTTGTAATGTAAATATCATGACCCACAGGTTGAGAACCATGTATCTAGCATGACATGGTCAGTCCTCAGACACATCTCTAACACTTGCAAACTTCATGCTAGATGTTAGGGATCTTTGTACTTCTTCAGAAGGACCCTATGATAACTGCATTTGCTTGTTTGTTTTTGGAAATCAAACCTAGGCATGCTAGGCAAGTATCCCATCACTGAGCTCTCTCAAGGCAGGGTCTTCTCATGTAGCCAAGGGTGATGTCCAGCTTTTGATCAACCTGGGTTTGGCTAGGATTTCAGGAGTGTACAGCCATATGTAGAACTAGTAAAAGAACTCATTCCAAATGAGGAAACTAGGGTTCAGATGGGTTAAAGCATGCCCACACTGCAGGTGAGGGTGCATCGAGGGTTCTCACTGGGTTGTACGCTTCTGAGCTTGGACATACCAACCGTGTGCCTCTTTGCCATTCTAGGACTAGCATTCTGAGTGACACAGGTAAGCAAAGCACCCTGTTATTGCAGAGCTGTGGTGGCACCCCTGCCCTCATTTGTATGACTGCTCAAGTGCTGTGTGGTCTCCCCAGCCTGAGCAGTTTATACTGTGCCATGCTCTGTTCCCTTACTCCCTCTCTGTCTTTCCCAGGCAGGGTCTTTAACTGTTGAGTGTATTGTCTGTATTCTGTTTCTGTAAGGGTTCTCAAAATTTCCACACAG